AAGACCAGCCTGACCAGCATGGTGAAACCCTGTCTCTACTAAAAGTACAAAAATTAGCCAGCCATGGTGGCAGGTGCCTGTAATCCCAGCTACTCGGAAAGCTGAGGCGGGAGAATCGCTTGAACCTGGGAGGTAGAGGTTGCAGTGAGCCAAGATGGCGCCAGTCCACTCCAGCAAAATAATAATAATAATAATAATAATAATAAATTAATGGATTAATTAAATAAACCCTCAAGCTTAAAATAAGTGAAGACTGGGGAATAAAAATCTCCATATGAATAAGCATTCAACCCTGTACAGAAACAAAAGCCTTCAATGACCTGAGTCCTGTCTTCTCGTTAAAGGCGAGTTTTCCATAGGTCCGGCAGAGGAGATGTGGCCAAGCTCCATCTGGGCGCAGGTGCAGCCGCACTTCCACAGGGAAAGAACAATGTCTAGAGTGGGCCAGCACTGGTTTGGCGAACCCCATGGTGACTGCCAGTCGTTTGCAGGCTTTTGTCTATTCTTTGTGTACTGTTTGACTCAGCTTGAGGCAAAAGAATCAGCAGCTAAAGCTGGAGCCTACCTTTTTGCAGAGAACACAGTGTTTGATGTTTCTGGACATTTTTGCAGCGTGTAACCCCTACCCTGAGCTCCTGCTGCCTTACTAGCACTTCTACATGAAAGTACAAGACTCTAAAATGGTACCGTCTACACACTGTATTCCCATTTATGAGGCACGCAGACAATGCTTTCTGACAGCTGGCTGTCCAGCTGGTGTTTGATGTGTGGCAGAAAAGCACCGTGGGGTAATAAGGGAGATGGATGTTTCTCTGAGGTGACAACTCAGTGTTCCTGAGTGCAGACTCCCTTCGGCTTCCTGCCCTTCTGCCCTGCATGCTGCCTCTTTGCACAGGATGGTAAGTTTCCTCTTCTTATTGTAGTACAGGTAAACTATTTCTATTCGCCTATCTGGCTTTTCATTTATTTGCAATTTCTTGATCACAACAAACATTTCAACTACTTTGTTATGGTGGTGTCAGCATGAATGCATTGGAACTGGTAAAAGTTTTTTGTTTTGTTTTGTTTTTTGTTTTTTGAGACAGAGTCTTGCTCTGTCACCCAGGCTGGAGTGCCGTGGCACCATCTCAGCTCACTGCAACCTCCACCTCCCAGATTCAAGTGATTCTCCTGCCTTAGCCTCCCGAATAGCTGGGACTACAGGCGTGTGCCACCACCCCTGGCTAATTTTTGTGTTTTTAGTACAGATGGAGTTCCACCATGTTGTCCAGGCTGGTCTCGAACTCCTGTCTTCAAGTGATCCACCTGCCTCGGCCTCCCAAAGTGCTGGGATTACAGGCATGAACCACACTGCGCCCAGCCTGGTAAAGGAAACAGCATTCTTTCTTTTTTAACTTTTATTCTTGTCTGAAATTCTTTGTTTTTATTTGTTTGTGAATGTTTTCTAGCCTACCTGTTCCAGAAAACTAGGAGAAACATTTATGCTAGACATAAAGCTATAATCTTGCAAATAGGCTGAAAATAACTTTTTTAACTTTTTTAAACTTAGATAATCTTCAGTTTGCTATGACTGAAGTTTTAAAATCGTTTTATGTATGCGTATGTATTTCTATATTATGGATATTCAGTTTAAGAATTGTTTGCACAGATGTGTTTTGAGACAACTACATTTACGAAGATTGTACTTGGTGTCTACAAAAAAGGTTTTGCACTTTTAACAGAAAAAAATGCTTTACACCTAACAGAACGCAAAGAACCATGAATTATTTAAATATCAGAATTTTCTGAATTGCCTTATTATAGATAAAATGATTATTTTTAAATCAGTATATTTTAATGCTGATTATTTTATTAAAAATCATATTTTAATAATGATTATTTTAAATCAGCAAACATACAAAAACCAATAATGTATACATCTTAAGGCAGAAAGTATTTTCAATTTTATTTTCAGTGCTACTGTGGAATCTTAAAGTAAGCATCACTTAGGATTGATTATAGACAAGCACCCCAATGCTGTCACTTTAAAGGAAAAACTCTTCTGAGCTGTGATTATCAGGAAATCCACTAGGAAAAAGATAAGCATCCCACAGAGTAGCCTGGGCTTCCTGCTTGCTTAGGCCACCTCTCTGAGATCAATGAACATTTAGCTGCAAAGATGACCCTGGCCTTCTTCCTCCATACCCATTGTCGTTTTCTTTGTTATTATTTCTCTTCACGTTCTCTGCTCATTTGCACAAGAGTGAGGCCATCATGGTTAGCTTCAGTCAGGAATCCTTAGGTTTACAGAAGGGAGAAAATAACCCAGGGATGGCCAAGCTCAGCCAGGTTCACCTCTTACATTGAACGACCAGTGTTTCTGTGCTGTCCTGAAAAACAATGGATCTGATTTTTTTGCTGGTTGTGAGACCAAATTGGCTGAATGTAGGTATAACTAAAGTGGAAACCCTTGCTGTGGATGCTATCAATATAGAAAAATGACTGATAATGTTAATGATTTCAAATAAATTAATTGAAGAGTACTTCTTGGGTACTACGGACCTTGCCACTTGTTTAAAACGAAGAAGAAAATGTCTTGTCTTAAAAGATACAATCTTGACCAGGCCGGGTGGCTCACATCTGTAATCCCTGCATTTTGGGAGGCCAAGGTAGGTGGATCACAAGATCAGGAGATTGAGACCATCCTGGCCACATGGTGAAACCTCATCTCTACTAAAATACAAAAAAATTAGCCGGGCTTGGGGGTGCACACCTGTAGTCCCAGCTACTCAGGAGGCTGAGGCAGAGGAATTGCTTGAACCCAGGAGATGGAGGTTGCAGTGAGCCGAGATTGCGCCACTGCACACCAGCCTGGCGACAGAGCAAGACTCTGCCCCCCCCCCAAAAAAAGATACAATCTTAACAAAATTTTTTCCTTCCTTCCATTCTATTCCTAAATTTAAAAGACACAATTTTTAGAGGCCTAAGTGAGACAGAAAAGGCCTAATTTGCCTTTTGTAGATTAAAAGGCAAAACAAGGAAGGGTGAACAACAAAAACATGTCAAAATAACGTTTGTTCAATAAGAAACAGTATAATTAGGGATTCCAATGTATACTACATAACTGCAATATGTAAGTGTGTTATTTTTAAACAAAAAGAAACAAAAGAAAGAAAATACAAAGAAACGAATAAAGAGAAAAACTTTAGTGAAAGGAACATTTCAAAGAAATGCCTAAGCTTGGTTTTAGAGGGTTTTTGATCTAAAGCGTAATGTTTTAATATGGATTTTTATTTTTATTTTTTTTGAAATAGCTATCCTACAGGAAATTTTGCTCACTCCTGTGCTAGAGAAAGGTCAGAAAGAGAATGAACAGCAGCAGCAGCAGCAGAGTCAAGAGAAGGAAGACATGGCCAGAAGTCACAGGACATAAGGACAGCCTCTGTTTCACCCTCCCAAGGCTGAAGTAGGTCTCCATTTTGCCCTATTTTCTAGAAGTAGACACATGCTACAAAGGATTAATGAGCTTTACAGTTTGCACTGAAATTTATACACGGTGGAGAATGGGGGTTACATAGCACAGATCACAGATTTTCTTCAAAATCTGCCAGTGAGGGCTGGGTGCGATGTCTCACACCTGTAATCCCAGTACTTTGGGAGGCCAAGGAGGGTGGATCACCTGAGGTTCTGAGTTCGAGACCAGCCTAGCCAACATGGTGAAACCCCATCTCTACTAAAAATACAAAAATTAGCCGGGCATGGTGGCGCATATCTGTAATCCCAGCTACTCTGGAGGCTGAGGCACAATAATCACTTGAACCCAGGAGGTAGAGGTTGCAGTGAGCCGATATTGCACCACTGCACTCCAGCCTGGGAGACAGAACAAGATTGCATCTTGGGGAAAAACAAAAACAAAAACAAAAAACACTCTAACATGTTTTGTTTTTTCCCTTTCTTCCAATTGGATAATTTATATTGGTCTATCTTCAAGTTAACTGGCCCTTTTCTCTGTTGTCGCCATTCTACTACTGAGCTCATCTGATAAATTTTTTATTTCAGTTCCTGTATTTTCAGTTCTAAAATTTCCATTTGGTTCTTTTTTTATGCTTTCTACTTCTTTGCTAAGATCATCTATCCCTCCGTTCATTTCAAGAGCCTTTACCTTTATCTCATAGAGACCAGTTATAAAAGCTGCTTTAAAATCTTTGTATTATAATTTCAACATTGCATAATCTTGGATGTGATGGTTAATAGTGAGTGTCAACTTGATTATATTGAAGGAAGCAAAGTATTGATCTTGGGTGTGTCTGTGAGGGTGTTGTCAAAGGAGATTAACATTTGAGTCAGTGGGCTGGGAAAGGCAGGTCCACCCTTAATGTGGGTGGGCACAATCTTCTCAGCTGCCAGCGTGGCTAGAATATAAGCAGGCAGAAAAATAACCTCCCAGCCTACATCTTTCTCCCATGCTGGATGCTTCCTGCCCTCAAACATCAAACTCCAAGTTCCTCAGTTTTGGAACTCAGACTGGCTCTCCTTACTCCTCAGTCGGCAGGTGGCCTATTTTGGGACCTGTGATCAGGTGAGTTAATACTTAATAAACTCCCCTTTATGAATATATATCGATTCCATTAGTTCTGCCCCTCTAGAGAACCCTAATACAGATTTTGCTACCAGGAGTGGTTCCAGAGGAACAGAATATTAAGGTTGGAGTTCTTTCATTGGTTTTGGGGTTTCTGGAGTTGGCTGCTTAATATAATTAGACCCAAAAAAGTGAAGGACTCTACTTCTAATAGTATGGAGAACACTAATAGTCCATGGTATGGACTGTTTAGAGAGTTATGCAAAATAAATGCATTTGACACTCCTGATTCACCACTCATGAGAGGCAAGGAGTTTAGTGACTCTATACATAATACCTTTGACCCTATGTGGAGAACCAAGAAACATGATGAAGCTGGTTGGTTGCTCCTAAGTTCAGTGGACAAAATGATGGAAGAAAATGATGAACTCAGGGATTTTAACTCCCAGCTTCAGAAGCAGACACTGAGCCTCAAATCTGCTAAGATTACCCTGAGTGAGAGTCTTATCTCCTGTAGAGAAAGAGCTGAAATTGTGGAAAAATAGATACAAGCTCTTATCATGCAAGCGGCTGAGCTGCCATGAAAGGTGCATGCACAGCCTCACCAGGTGTCTACTGTTAAAATGAGGGCTTGATTGGAAAAGAATGGGACCCTGCAGCTTGGAATGGGGATGTGTGGGAGGACCCTGATGAAACTGGGGACACTGAGTTTGTAAACTGTGATGAAACCTTTTTTTGACAGAATAAACAGCTTCCCCATCCCCAGTAGTGGCAACATCCCCTCCCCAACCCATGCTGCCATCAGCCTTTCCACCTTTGTCTGAGGAGATAAACCTTGCATTGCCTGAGGCAACAGGCAAGATATTATTGATTCTCATCAGGAGCCACCCCTAACACCCCTGTTTGCTTCT